AGCAATTTACAATTTTAAAAAACTCATGAAAAGCCCTACGTAATAATCTTACCTTTAACTTTAATAAGAGGTCAATTCACTCTAATTTTTAAGCTAACAGAGCTAAGCGTGATCTGTTGAAAGTACAATTTGATATGTTACGCTCTTGTAAGACGGAGACAACCCATGCGGGTATAACGTGCTCTTAATAACCGATATCAGGGTTCCTGTCTAGTCTAAATATTTAGGTAATATTTAAAAGACCGAGCTCCAAATCATCAGTTTACAAGATAAACAATGTTTCATTAAAGGACCACGAAAGGAAAAAAAAACTAATTCTTAAAAAAAATTCTTAATTAAAGAAAAACAGAAGTCCAAACTAAACTTGTCTACGACTTTTTGTTAGCGAGTTATAGTCTTTTAAAGTTAGCGCGTGACGTCATAGAATCTAATCTCGCTGCGGCTACAGTATGGCTACGTAGGTTACGTCGCGCGTCGTACATATTATTATTTTGCATAATATTATTACATATTATTATTTTGGGTTTGATATTTTTGTGTTCAAAAATAATTACGTGCTACATAATATTTATTTTATTTTTAGTTCTTACTGATAAAATGGGGTTTTGTCGTTTTCTTCTAGGACTGGATTAGTATTTATTATTTTAGTATTGTTCTTTGTTTCTTTGAGTGTACTTAAAAATAAATTACGATTGTGGTTAACTCACCATATCAATTTGAACCAACGAAATTAGATTTCTGCGATGACTATGATTCTTTTAATACTAACCATAATGAATTTAGCCAATGCTTTGGTAGATCATTGCTTCAAATAAATAATTGGTGTGATTGTCAAAAATGCACAATATTACCGACGAACCACGAGTGCATATAGACTGTTGAACAGTATCATATTTTGTGACTATGCCACTATAATTATTGTTATAGTTAATTATGTAATATTATAATATATATTATTATAACATAACGTTAAATAGAAAATTATTAACGTTAAAAATATCTCTAAGACCAAACCCGGTATATTGAATATTACATTCGTGATAATGGGTAAATAAAGTTGAAGACGTAATATTTACATGTATAAACGCCAGGAGAATAGATTCTATGACGTCACACGTCAACTTCAAATACCTGTACATCGCCAACGAAGAGTCGTAAACATTTTTAGTTTGGACCATTATTTTTTTAACACGGAGTACTATGTTTTTTTGAGTATAAAATAAATTAAAATTTTTTCCTTTCATGGTCAAAGAACATCACCACAGAGAAACAAGAAATGGAGGGTACCTAAGATTAACCAATTTCGATCTAAGACCACGTACATTTTGACAAAAAAATTTTAAATTATAAATCTATTTAATGTTGTTATTTAGAATAGATGTTGAAGTGTTATCGTATTTTTTTTTTAAAGAGATACATTTTTTAATACGACCATTACAAGAGATACTATTAGAACAATAAATAACAATTATAAACAAATTATGTGTATACACATGAACACATTGGTGACAGGTACCTAATCATCAAACTTTAGATTTGAATTTGCGAGGCAACAAATTAGTTTTTTGGTTTAGGATTGATGACACAAAGATCGCATAAACGACATAGTGACTAATGAGATGTGATTTATCCGCCTATTTCCTACGTTCTTATTCGGTATGAGATGAATGGTGTAGTTCTTGTAGAGTTTAGTTTAAAAATTGTCTAATCTACTTTTGAGGGCTAAGATAGCTCAGTGCGAAATGAAAAGTTTTCATTCTGAAGTTCAGATACTTCGTATGTTAGTGCAGTAAGGAATCCATGAAATTCTTCAAAGTAGTACCTACTGTTTGGGAGGTTTGAACATTTCTAGGATGGCTTGCATTAAGTCACTGTATAGTGGATACCGTTGTGAATGAGATTATGTATGACTGCGATTAGAGGGCCTTGCAGTAGGACTGTCTGGCTTGACTTTTGGTAGAACTTTACGAGCATTATATGTCTAGGATAGTAAATCATATAAGACGTAGGTAAGAACAGCAGTGTTGTGTTGTCTTTAGCCGTCGATAATAGGCATTTATAAAATTAAGGAGTGGGTGTAGGCAACACATACCACAACTACTTTAGTTGAAGTTAGTAACGAGAGAAACCTGACCCGTAAATGTAATGTAATAAGACACATCAAGTTGGTCCTCACTCGTCAGAATGAAGCGAAGTCAAAACGTGGCAAAATTGAACCGGTTTCAGCTGATGGTGAGCGTTGAGACAATAAATGCAGTTGAAGATAAGACGGATAAATTACATAAGAAATAGCAATTACATGAGAAAATAAAGCTTATAATTAATATTAAATCAATAAAACAAAAACGATAGTACTCATTTCTATTAAAATAAAATACGACGATTTTGCCAACAATTATGGAATTATTATGAGTTCAAGTTGAATAAATCATAATATTTTTAGTAGAAAAATAAATTACTTATATTAATATAAATGTTAAATATACGTGTATTGCTAACAAATCCTTGGAACTAGTCAAATAGATACTGAAACATCGTCCCCGTTCTGAATCGTTTTTGCATGCAATGTGTAACACTGAATTCAAATTTAACAAATCCATTACAGTGACCTATTTTTGACAATTTTCACTCGAAACATAATATAATAATACAACAGAGCGAGTTCCCCAGTTTTATTCTGTACCTACCAACACTTTTAGTACACTAAAATCTATTTAAAATGTACCTTACTAAAAAAGCAAGGTTTATCAAGTCCATGCAATTTTATAACTCAGTTCAATGAAGTTATTTATTTTATTTTTTAATTAAGTTGAAAATTAAATTAATGGTAATTTTTAACGCATTAGTTAATCTAATAAATTAAATTGATTTAACTGTAAACTTATTAGTTTTTTAAAGCTCAGCCTTGCTAAAATTATATGAATGCATTTATAGTTTATACAATTATTGTTTAAACCTTTTATGTACAATTGATCTTAAAATTGTAAAATGTTACAAAACGTTATTAAAATATTACTTACGTACCACAAGTTGTAACTTTCAAAATTACTGCGCTTGATTGAATTAAGACATATACTTGGTCATAGGTATTCTTGTTTTTAAGAAAATATTATGTACAAATCGTAAAATTAAATTAATACCTATTACTCACAATTATTAATTGCTTATTTAACAATAATAAATTGATAATAGATGCTAGAAAGATTTAGATTTTTAGTCTATACGGTTCTTAACATTAATTTTCATACTGTAATTTTATCATTAAGGTGATTCTTATAATGGTCAAAGATATTATAAATATTTAAATAA